GGATTCCAGGGCTGGAGTCCTTCCACGTCTGGATTGCCATCCCCTTTTGTGCTATGTATCTCACAGCACTGATTGGGAATGCTGTGCTCATCCTCGTCATTATGACCGACAGAGCTCTTCATGCACCCATGTATCTCTTCCTTTGCCTTCTGTCACTCACTGACCTAGCTCTCAGCTCTACCACTGTGCCCAAGATGCTGGCCATTTTATGGCTACATGCTGGTGAGATCTCCTTCAGCGGATGCCTGGCCCAGATGTTTTGTGTCCATTCTATCTATGCTCTGGAGTCCTCTGTTCTTCTTGCCATGGCCTTTGATCGATATGTGGCTATCTGCAACCCACTGAGATACACAACAATTCTCAACCATACGGTTATAGGAAGAATCAGCTGCATTGGGGTGTTGCGCAGCGTGGCTATTGTCTCTCCCTTCATCTTCTTGCTGAGGAGATTGCCCTACTGTAAGCACCATGTCATGGCACACACATACTGTGAACATATGGGCATTGCCCGACTGGCCTGTGCTAACATCACTGTCAATATTGTCTATGGATTGACTGTGGCTCTGCTGGCCATGGGCCTGGATTCCATCCTCATTGCCATCTCCTATGGTTTTATCCTCCATGCTGTCTTCCGTCTCCCATCCAAGGATGCCCAGCACAAGGCTCTGAGTACCTGTGGTTCGCACCTGAGTGTCATCCTGGTGTTCTATATCCCTGCCTTCTTTTCCTTCCTCACTCACCGTTTTGGTCACAACCGAGTTCCCAAGCGTGTGCACATCTTTCTTGCAAACCTCTATGTGCTGGTGCCTCCTGTCCTCAATCCTATTATCTATGGAGCTAGAACGAAGGAGATTCAGAGTCGACTTTTAAAACTGCTTCACGTGAGGAAGATGTCCACATAAACTCTAAGTTGAAGATTTTAAAAAAAGTATGGGATATCACAGTTGTCTAGATATACTGGCATGAACAAAAGCCTCTAATACAGAAGAAATGGATTTGCGTAGTAGAAGGATTTGGACTGTAACACTGAATAAGTCTGTGATGTTCTGGAACATACTCTTTCCCAAGGCTCTGTAAGGAACTCTGAATAGTCTGGACAGGTGTTAGTATTTTCACTCTTGTCTCAAAAGTAGATGCAACTACTATGAGAAAAAAGCCAGTTCCCAGACTTGAATAGAGAATGAGATTCAAGGTGGGAATCTTCTCATGAATCCAAGTAAAAAAGAATGTTTACAGTTACCTTAAATCTGAATCCCTTTATTTTGATTAGCTGTTAAGAACACAGAATGTAAAATCAGAGTGTTTGAACCCTGACACCTCCATTTACTGGCTTTGTAACCTTGATCAAGAGGCTAAATGTTTCAGCCTCAATTTGACAAACTATTAATTTGAGGTCATGGTAATCTCTAACAGCTAACATTGTGCTTAACAATAATTAATAAATATTGAGAACATGAGACAACCCCTGCATGTGCTCAGTGAATATATGATTGGAAAGTTATGTGGCCTCTCTAAACATTATTAGTTATTTTCTTTTCTAAAAATTTTTAGATTAGCTCAGAATTCAGAGCTGCTGTCATAACTCTATGAACTAAGTAGTACTTGAGATACAATTAATGTTTAATATAATTGACTTCTCTCATTCTTCTCATTCTCTGTTTTAAGGGTCCTTTTCTTTTCACCAGAAAGTTATCTCTTATAAAAGATTCAAGAGAGCTAACTCATAGTTGCAATTCTTTTATTAATAGTCCTTCCATGCTTTCATAATCTCAGCTAGAAGAAAACACCCCTATGTCCATCAGTCTCCCTCCAACTGTTAAAAAATGGTTGCTGTACTAGATGGTCCCAACTAGAGACCATTATGCTCAGTGAAATAAGTCAATCCCAAAAAAGACAAATGCCATATGTTCTAAGGAAACCATCATGCAAATTGGAATGTATAGTGATGGAGTAATAGAGACTACCATATCCAGATATGAAGACACAATGCAACACGCATCCCTACTTCCAAATCAAAGATGGACTCCCAGTGAAACTGTTGGCTGGACTGTCTGACACTGTCTGTACCAACAACGTCTGGGCACTCTTAAATAAAAGACTGATGGAATTATAACTCCTTATGAAGGACTATGCTATTGTAACAATATAGGGAAAATCAGTTGGGGGTGGGAATTGTTCGCGGAGGAGAATCCCAGACTCTACAGAATTGTACCATAAAATTCAAAATTCAAAATAAGTATTAAAAAAAATCAAAAAATGGTTGCTGTTATTTGTATTTTCAAAGAGTTACAAAGTTTTCAAAGTGATTCGGAGAGACTAATCATCTGAAGCCATTCCACTGATATGGATACTGTGTCAGCAATTATCCAGCATTCTAAAGAAGGATGAGTGTGAGGTTTGGATCCTCATAACTATGGGCTTGACTCTTGGTTTCCTTGTCTAAGAGCAGCATAAACTAAGAGTTTCCCACTGAGCATACACAATCATAGTAAAATGCTCATAGTGTTTAAAACAAAGTAAGCACTCAATACTGATTAGTACTGAGTTAATAATCCTTAAATTTGTGAAAACAAGCTTTGTTTTATTATATCTACATCATAGAAAACAATCACAGTGTTTATATCTACCATTCTTAAAATTTGCCATAGCAAATTTCAATAAATATGTAAAATATTATGAAATCTATTGTTATGTATTCTTTGTTGAATTAATGAATAAATTAAAGGTGTATTGTGATCAGTAATGACACTATAAAACTTGCATAATATTAACACACGCAGTAGATATTCAGTAATTTATCTCTTGTTTGCTATATTGAGGTTGTTCAAATGGATCAGAATAGAGTTAAGGGAAAGGTTTTATTTCCCTCCCCGGGAAAGCAATTAAAGTAACGATCATCATAAGTTCCACAGGCGAAGCAGGGAGGGAAGCTTCAGCATCTAGAGACGGAGATCTCCAAGTTCAGTTGTAGGGGCAACCTCATGTACAAGGGACTATACTCACTGTTGGAAAGAGTCTGCAGCTCTTCCAACAATCTCTATTTCTTAAATTTGTGTTTTGGGCTCTTTTAACACCATGTTAAAACTCAATAAGTCTTAGAGGAGGGGTAATTTGAGGATGTCTGTAGGCTGTTTTCAGACAGAGTAAAGCTGAGTGTGGCACTCAGTAAAAACATCAGCAATAATCCCAATGATGTCTCCCATCCCACTCAAAATTTTGGCCAACAGGGCCTACATAACAAAGTCATGAAGCACACTAATAGGGTTTCAGAATTCTGCACTTTCTATTATCCTTTACTCTAGCACGAGGAATCTCACTCCTACCTGGGACCAAACATAAATCTCCATGATCAAAAGTCTGATGCTGTAGGCAAATTAATAATAATGTATATTTCAGGCTCATCACAGAGAATTGAGGTCCCAGAGAAATTTGATCCTTAGTCCCTGACCTCCACAACCTTCAGGTCCCTAGGCTCATGGGACATCAAAGCACAATTAACACATCTCTACAGAATCCACTGTCTTCCCTACACACCACCCTGCCCTGGAAAGAAATGAGACTCAACTCATCTCTGAGAATGCTAAATCCTTAGCTTCTTCCTGAATGACTTTGCCCACCTCCCCTCATTTTTTTTCTTTTCTCATCCAACTATATGATCATATTGAGTCCCCATATTCCTGGTGCATGGATCACAATAACTCACATAACTAATCAGTTACAGGTTTACCAGAGTGGTTCCTGAGCATGTTGGAAAAACTATTGCCAACTTTCACTGAGACATGCATGATAAAAAATTTAGAAGAGAAACAGGACAGGGGAAAGATGCTGAAATGTATTTTAACATTCTGAATCAGATTCTGCTAGGACACCCAAGAGAAGACCAGGGAAGTATAAAAAGATTTAAGAACCATGAATACAGAATAGCTAGAGACATGACCATGAAAATAGCCAAGTTCTCTGAGACACATAAAGACTTTGCATTATTGATGCCTTTATTATGGCACAGTGGGTTAAACTGTTGCCTGGGATGTTAGCATCCCAGTTCAAATGTGTTGATTTGAATTCTAGCTACTCTGTTCAATCTAGCTCCCTGTTAATGCAACTCAGAAGACATTATAAGATAGTGCAAGTGCTCAGGCCTCTGCCCAAGGGAGATGAAAATGGATTTCCTAGCATTTAGCTTCAGTATGCACCAGCCTGGCTATTACAGCCACTGAGTGAGTAAACCAGCGGATGGAAGAGCTATCTATCTCCATTAATTCTTTCAATTAAATCAAATAAAATTTTAAAATGATGTAATATACTTCAGGTCATAACACTCTATAACGAGAGAGTACATGGAGCAACTTTTAAAAATAAGACTTTAGGTAAATTTTTGTAGACAATTTCAGAAATACAAGAAAAGAGAATATTTTCATAAAATTTACTTGGAGTAAGTGCCTGCCTGCAGAAGATGATGAAATGTTAGGACTAGAATGGGAAAAACTCCCAAGAAATTCAGACAAAAGAAGATATCATACTTTATGGGTAAAATAATTGAGCATTTTGCAAAAAAATTTTTAAAAAAACTGCATAGGAGAGAATGGTGCTTCAGAAAAGTAATGTCTAGTGTCATAGATCAGGATCCTGGCACATAAAGTGTTGAAAAGCCATTGATGAGAAAAGTTGAACATCCTTTCCAAAACGAACCTACAGACAGAAAAACATGAACAAAATTGCTTTCATGGGTACTTACAGAATTCCCAAAAGTTGCTCTGAAGTTGTGATTGAAATTAATGGTGTTGGTTATAATATTGATGGGGGACTGTGTTGTTAGTTGAACACAAAATATCAAAGGCAAAAGTATTTCTCCAACACATGATTAAAATTATAGAAACTTCTGATGTTAGGGGCATAGGAATGGGTGGATTCCAGTACCAAAACCATATGACATGACCAGTCTCTCTCCAAGTAGCATTCCATCTGCTTATCCATCCAAAATTGACATCACACACAAGATCCAAGCAATCTTTAATGTAGAACAGCTTGGGCAGTGACATGGTGTTTGTCCAAATATGCACATGATCTATGTAGGAAGAATTTCCAAAATAAGCTAATTCTCTTCCCTTACCCTTCCTTTTCCTTCCTCTCTGCAGAGTGGTGCAATGCGAACATCAGTTTTAATGACTTAGGCCTGTAGGACCCCCCGACAGCTTCTCAATGGCAGCATAGATGTCTCCACCTGTGGCCATCAGGGCCTGAAGATTGGCATCATGGTTAGCAAAACCCAGGGCCTTCAGCTGCTCTAGTTCTTGCTGATAGAGACCTTCAGTGAGCAGGGAAGAAGAAAGTGAAGATTGGATAGCCTGGGAATAAGAATTGGCCAGTACGTGCAAAAGATGAAGAATGACCAAGGTGGGTTGCACAGAGTCTTCTCTATAACCTTGTCTTCCAATCCTAACTTCAGGGATGCCTCTAGCACACCGTGGTCTAGCCAGGTCCCATATCCTAGTTGGATCACATAAGATTGGTGCCAGTCCAGGTACCTCCCTGGATAGTATCTGTAAGCCATGTTCTATTTGCATCAATGCCTGCACTGCTCGAGGGTTGGTGAGGATGGGAAGTAGTGGCATATGATGTCTCAGAGGGATACCAGTTGCTGGTTGGTGTAATAAAGCTGGATTTTGTTGCAAGACATGCAAGATTTGACACAAAGCAGAGGGTGAGAATTTTGGCTGACTGGTTTGAGTGACTTTCTCCATATGCTCACTCTCCTGGGAGGAAGCATCCTGACTTGAAGAAAAACCCTGCATTCCAACCCTGCACCCTGAATTGGTCTGATTTGAGGCCATGCCCCTGACACCTTGGGTGTCCATTCTTACACTGACTTCTCGCAGCAATGGCCTGGCATGTGCCGAGGTAGTGGGGATGGTTGTGTTGGTGTCAGCACTGTTCTGAGTATTGACTTCCCCTCTGCAAGATTCTAAACCTAGGCTATGGCCCTTGGAAGCAGCCAATAAGGCCAGTATTGAGATCATGAACTGCTGGACATCAGAGCAGATTGGACGTAAAGCATTGTCACCCCCAGGCACTAGCTTCAAAGCCTCTAGCTTCTGCCTATCTGCTTGGAGGAGTGGCTGTTTCTGGGCTGGGTTCTTCAAGGTTTCCAAACGCTTAAAAGCTGACTCAGGTTTCTGTTTGGGCTTTGAAGATTCTGGAACATGAGTGACATTGACTGGTTTCTCAGTTGCCAATCTTTGAACTAGAGGGTCTTCCAAGAAGTGTACCGCACACTCAGGTGTAGCCATCAGAAGTTGAGTCAGCTGGCCAAAGAAGTTAGCTAGACCAGGTGAACTTCGGGCCAGCTGATCCAGCATAGCTAGCGTGCCAGCACCCTCAGAAGCTGATGGTTCAGAATGATGGGTGGGACCTGTGGGACGTGACAGAATTCTAGAACCAGCTAACCCTTTTGAATGGGTCCTCACCACCAAGTGGACTGTAGCGCCATCAAGGATACCACGCTGGCTCAATATGTCTTGATCACGGAGTATCTTTCCATTGAAGATGAGTGCCAGTCGATCAGTGTCACAATGAATGCGTTTGGAGATTTCCTTCTTAAAATGGTAGACACTGCTATTTTCTGCCAACATAAATTCTTGGCAGTCCTTTGGGGTCTTGACAGTCACTCTGATGATGCATGGTGATGGTTCCCGACCGGACACCAGCTGACTGTCCCCTGCTTCTTCCCTAGCCCATGCCATATTTCCTTGAGAACAGAATGCAAAGCCACCTGAAGACACAGTGGTTCACAGAATTGCAGAAGCCTAGATGTGGCACTGAGCACACCTGGGTGCAGGTACTAGTAGGGATCAAGTGATGTCCTGTCATCTAGTGATGTCCTGTGGATGCCACTTCCCAGTGTAGCCCTGAGGCCACCTGGTCCCACAGAGGGGACAGCCACTCTTCTCCTGGACCAGCAATAGGGCACATGATGTCGGTGATGAGGTCATAGTGGAAAGGTACACTGGAATGGGGTAGGGGGAAGGGCAGTCTTGAGATTGGGACATTATGATTTGATTTAGACAGCAATAGGGAAAAAAGCCAATGTCCCTGTCTAGAAATACGTTTCACAATAGCCTGTTCCATGGTTGAAATGCTACCATTGAAGCTTGATAAACCAATGTGGCTGAGTAGGATAAGCGCAGGACTAAGACCTAGCTAAAGAAGTGCTTATTGTGGCCACGTGCCCTCCACTAAATTACCATACACTGACTATAACCTCCAAGTCCCTGTTTGTGTACAGGAAGAAGGAAGATCACAGGTAATGAATCCAGTCAGTGTGACTGGGGTCTGCAGGCACCTTGTACTTCAGAGGCTCCCCAAGCTGAGCAACCCATTCACTTGGCTCTATAAATGGCATCATCATGTACCCCTAAGAGCCTGAAACCAAGGGGACGCTCACAGAAGCAAACTCCAAAGACTAGAGCTGAGAAAGTGTTACGAATCTAGGTCTGTGTGATTTGACACTATTAGAAGTAAGGCTTAGTGTATCTGAAGATAAATGTTAAGCTGATTTCCTTTGGAGGGCAAATTTCAGCATTCAAGCAGGTGATAGTGAGTTTCTAAGGCTCTGTTTCAACCACTACCAGCCCAAAGTGAAATCTAATCCCTACAATCATTAGTTCTTTGCTATGAACATAAATGTAGCAAGTAATAATAGGTTTATGTCAACTGTTGCCATTATACATTTGATCCTTAAAATTCTCAAGGACTGTAAAATGGGTTCTGAGTACCTAGGATGCCATTGTTAGGATATTCTTGTAAACTTGGGTTTGGCGAGCATCTGGATTCCTCTACAGCTATACTGTTATCGCATGTTGCTGTATGTGTTTGCATTTTCATTAGTTTCAGTCTGTATCTCTAGTATCCAGTGAAAGTCAGTAAGGGAGAAGTTGTAAATGTTGAATCAGAAAGAACTCCCTAGCCCCCATAGGATTTCATAAAGCTAACCTCATGATTGGCCAACAGCCAATCTGCTGCCCATGCCTACACAGCAGAGTAACTTCACTCTACAAGGACTACAAGCAATTTCAACACCTTTAGAGATTTTCTTTTCATTTCCCCCACTCAGAATCAGATATTCAAGTTAATATTTCTGGCTTTCCCTCATCAAAGGCATTCATGTCCATCAGGGTTAAAGAGTGTTCCAGTTGACAGTTATTCAGAACCACTTTTGCATATCTCCTGGCTCCTGGGATTGTTTTCCACAGACTCGGCGGGTGAACTATCCCTTTGGTTCCTCCTCTACACACCCCATTACCAGGGCCTGAGTGTCTCCTTCTCAAGTACCAGTTGATTCGTCTCTCCAGCTCAGTGCATTCTGTCCTCTGAGTTCTGCCTCATATGGACTATGCGCTATCCTGCCTGGGGATACCACTATATATTTCTCAATTCTCTAATTTTTAGATGTAATGGAAACAACATAATCTCATTTAAACTAACTGAAATTTGATGTCTCCTATAAAGTATATTTAAAAATTTTTTAATTAGATAGAGTTAGTTAATGGCATATAGTAAAGAGTATAGGTAAAGGACATATATTGCATATCGTAAAATGTGTGTATATATATATGTGTATGTGTGTGTGTATACCATAATAGGATATGGTAAAGAAGATATTCAAATCTACTGTAGATAGTTGCAGGAGTGAAAAGTATAAACATTCCAACTAAATAACTAGAAACTCTGCCCCCATTCTGTTGTTTTATGATTTATGAGTAAGGGGGGAAAAAACACAAATTCAACTCCAACTGTAGGCAACTGCCTAGGTTGCCTTGTACCCAGGCAAGTGTCCTAATGCTAGAAGAAAAGCAGCCAATATTTGGCAGGCATTCTGAGCCCAGTTAATGTCAAGTTTGTGTTAACTATAGTGGTGTACCAGGATCGTTGCCTATTCTTTTTGTTGTTGTTGTTGTTGTTGTTGTTGGGATATATGGGGAAAGCAGGAAATGCCAGGCTGCAACATGCCACCCCAGCTGCCAAGCAAGGGGCCTACAGATTGCCCAGGAAAGAGGGACTGGAGACATTTTGGAGTGGGAGTGACTGGGGGCATGTTTGACAGAGAAGTCACTTCTGGGGCCTCCACAAATGCACAGGCAGGCAAAGGAGCTGAGACACAGTGGTTTAGGGGGCAGAATCAGAGGGCCTGTCTGGGTCAGTCAAGGAACTTGCCCACATGGAAACTTGGACTAAGCTAAGTAAGTCACATCACCCACCAGCTACAGGTACACATGAGGCTGGGGCTGGAGACCATGCCTGACTGGGCTAGGTTGAAGTACTCACCCAAGACTTTCGAATATGGCATAGCAACATCATGTTGGGTTGCAGCACTTACTGGAATGCGAAAGAACTGGCCTTGAAGGTAGATTCTGGGGGACTCATGGGCTCCCTCGGTGGGACTGCAACACTCTCCAGAGCTGGGGATAGTAATGAGCAGACCCAGGCTGAACCACAGAACTCACCTGACACTTGTGGGAGCTGGGGCTGGGAGGAGGCCATGTGAGCCAGGCTGCAGCACCTTCCAGCATATGCAAAGGCTGAGACTGAGGGCAGACCACGTTAATCAGGACCATGATATCAATTGGCACATGTGGAATCTGAGGCTGGAAGCAGGCCTTGTAAGGGAATTTGGGAAACTTCCCTGCTAGACCACAGCATCCCCTGAGGAACAATAGCCATGGCTGGGTATGGGCAAGGCAATATAAGGCTGTAGCACTTTTCAGCATTTGTGGGGGCCAGGTTTGGGCCAAGCCACAACATCCACTGGCATGCATGGAAGCCAGAGCAGCATGTGGGTCAAGATCAGTTGGCCTAGGCTAAAATACTGACCAATGAGAGCTGAAACTGAGGCCAGGCCCTGCCAGGTTGGGTTGAAGCACCCACCAGCACATGCAAGATCTGGGGCTGAGAACAGGCCTTGTAGGGGAACTCTGGGGACTTCCCTGCTAGGCTGCAGCCCCCACTGATGAATGTGAGAGCCAGAGCTCTAGGTGAATTGGGCTGGGCAAGCTGCAGCACCCATCAGCATGCATGTGTGCTGGGTCAGTCTGGTCTAGGCCCCAGCATGCTCTGATGCTCACAAGAGCCAAAATGAGTGCAGGCCAGTCAAGCTAGGTCACACAATTTGCCAGTAAGTGCCAGAACTGAGGACCAGCCATGCCAGACTAGCCTGCCAGTACATGTGAGATCTGTGGTTGAGAATGGGCCTGGTGGGGAAACTTGGGGAAGTCCCCTGATAAAACACATTCTCTTCTGGTGAATACAAGAGCATGGGGCTTGGAGCAAACCAGGCAAGGCAGGGCTGTAGCATCTGTTGACATATGTGTGGACCAGGTCTGGAGTCAGGTTAGGCTAGACCAGTCCACAGCATACACTGGCATGAGTGAGAGTCAGGACAGGGTCCAGGCCAGGCCAGTCCTGACCACAACGCCCACCAGTTCACATGATGGCTGGGGACAGGCTGGGCTGAGCCATCTACAGCACCTGCTGGAGAATGGTGAGACTGAAGGTGAGTCATGCCAGATTGGATCACAGCGCCTGCTGGCACGTTCATGACCCAGGACTGGTGATGAACTGGTAGTGAAACTTTGGGAGCTTCCCTGCTAGGATGCTGCTTCTGCTTCTGAGTGTGAAAACTGGGCTTGTGGGCAGAGCAGGCCAAACCAAGTAGCACTGTAGCATCCTTCCTACAACATATGAACTAGTTCTATGAACAGGTCAGGCTGGGCTAAGCTGATGCAACTGCTGGGAAGTGCTAAAACTTGGTGCAAGTTATGTCAGGTTGGATTGTAATACCCCTTGGCTGGCACAAGATTTGGGACTGGGACTGGGCCTCATAGGGGAACTGTGGGCACTCCCCTGCTGGGCCGCAGCTCCCACTGGTGAGCATGAGAGTCAGGGTCTGGGGATGGGTCAGGCTGAGCTAAGCTACAGCACCCATGGGTATATACAGACCCAATGGAATGTGGGCTATACCAGGCTAGATCACAGTACGTACCAACACAAGCAAAAACTGAGGTTGGGGTTCGGCCTGATAGGAGTTGTTAAGGATGAATATGACTAGGCTGCAGCACCTGCTGGTCTTTTTAGACTAGACCTGTGGCAGCTAGGCTGGGTGAAACCACAGCACCCATCAGTTCACATGAGAAATGGGGCTGGTGCAAAACTGACCAGACAGTGCATCGACCAGTATGTGGGTTGGCTGGTGCAGGTGATGGACCAAATATGACCCTATACTGACTGGTGCACACAGAAGTCAAATCTGAGGTCACTCCAGGCAAGGTTTCTTGGGGGATTTTCTCAACCAGATCATTAAACTCAAACCCTAACCACAGAGAAAATCACAGTATATGTGCATGTATTGAGACTGGTCTTCTCAATTGCTGATGCCCGTGCAGTGGACAACATGCCCAGATGGCACACAGGAGATATGACAACCAGCTCACCTGGGTTAACAGGTCACATCCACTGCCTTGTCAGATGATGAAAATCAGAACATGTTGGACCACTCTCCTGGCCACGTTTTGCAGCTTAGTGGATGCACTAAGGTTGAATTGGTCAGCCAACAGAGCTTGAAAAGATTTTCTGTACCCTGGTACGGTGAAGCTGATGACATTGCAAAACTATCAAAACCACTCAAGTAACACCCTTGGGATACTCTTCCCATACAGGGGTGTCTAAGATGTCATCAAAGGACTTCCCTCCATCCCCAAGAACTGATGTATTTTGACAGCAAGGAATGATGTCCTCCCCTGCAGGTAGTGGAAAAAGGAAAAAAATGGAAATATTTGTTCCACCCCCCTTCCTCCCCACCCTAATTAAAGGTTCAAGTGCATGTGCACCCCTCTCAACTGTGTAAATAATACTTAAAATAAAATAAACACAAATTCAATAAATGTTTTTAATAAAATGGTGAAGAATATGAACTGTGGAAACAGATTAACTTCAAACTCCGGCTGTCATACTAAGATTTCTAACTTGAGGCTTGTGCTTCCCACCTGGATATACCTTGGCTTCCCTCATGTGCAAAATTGGGATAATACTTCCCACGCTAACAGACTCAAACTTTCCATGAAGTTTGTTTTCCTTACCTGATCTTCCCCAAAAGGAGTCAGATTATATGATTCATTTTCCTCATTTGCAGGCAGTCAGGGATTAGTCACAGTATGAATTGCAGGCAAGGAGCCAGAATTTTCTTCTCTGCAACACTGCATCCAGCAGAGTTTCCTGTACCTGGACCAGAACCTCCCACAAGTGGAGATTTCTTGAAGCCTTGTGTTCCACCTGGAGTTTGCCCTAAGTCTCTGGGATAACCTTGTTGTTCAGAGCTGGTTTCATCTTTAAGTAGCATACTTGAAGACAGTTTCTGGAGCCTCAGGCTGAGTCTCTGACATTTAAATACTCATTATATCTGCTTTCACCAAAGCATCCCCACCCCCAACCTAAATCTGGGGCCCTGGCCCTTTCCACTCCTGGACGGCAATATTGTATGAATGATTCTTGCATTTACACTTTCATTCTGTACTAAAACTCTGACATTGTAGGGTATGTTATATTTGTGCTTATGTATGCAGACATGACACACAGAGGTATGTGCACATATCCAGTGTGTTTACCAGTGTGAGTTCTTGAGCATATTTATGCACTGTTCACTTGCTTGATTTGTGAACTTTAACATCTTTACTCTGGAAACTCATGCGTAATGAAAAGCACTCTTGTTTACAAGCAAAGAATTAATCTGTGTGTCTAATACACTTAGCCAGGGTTAGGCACAGCCTAACTCAGTGCATTGGTATATCACAAATCCTCTCCAAAAATACTCTCCTCCCCCCATTCATTCTTACTACTTTTCAAGCTTTAGCTTGGATGGAATACACACTGGTGGAAATTTTCTCTATCTTCCTGAACTAGTCCCTGTTTTTACAACTTCCCAGCTTCCCATCTTTTTCTTTGTCTCATTAGTCATGATTTATAATTATTGAAAATAAGCATTCTTTCAGGTACCCAAAGTTTAAATAATTGCTGTTATCAGATGTTAACTCAAAACAGCAAGTTAATGTCCTTTTTACTCGTATTAAATTCTTAATCATGAACAGAAAGCTGAGCCTATAATAGGTACTCAACTTTTGAGCCAAAAGCTGCAAGCAGTAAATCTGAAGCTGTCTACAAAAGACTCGGTAATATTAGTGAGTTTCAGCCATGCAGAATTCCATCTGAATCTTTGCCGCTATTTCTATATCCACTGAGTGGCCAGAATTAAACCTTGAAGAGGACAGTCTATCAGGAGTCGTCTCAGGTACACATACAGCCACAAATCAGAAAAGCTCTACTATCTTCATCCAGGCTAGTGACAGGGACTGAAAAGGATGGAGTACATGGTGGAGACACTACAGAACGCAGAACATGAAGGGCTTCTGAAAGGACATCAGGAAACCCTCAGGCCTCAATATATAGAGTCACAACAACATTCCCTGTTCTGCTCTCTATGTCTCTGAGACATGCCCCGTCAAAGCTCTTTCCCTCCCTCACACCCAGGCCTTTTGTTAAGGCAGATACAACCTTAATCACCACTCACTTGATTCTATCTCCCCACCCTCTTCTCATAAACCGTAAGAATCAGACTCAGGCAATGGCTGACACTGAAGATTAGATGTAATTGCATCTCAAGATAGTCATACACAGAACTCAGACTGGGGCCCCAAGATGGTGCAGCAGAGGGAGTGGTTGGGGCATACTCATCATTCCCATCCTGTTTCTGCCTCTTGGTCTTCCTCATTGAGTCTGGAACAACATTGTCTCAGCAGTAAAGGGCATCATAGTAAATTTGGTGTATAGTGCAGCTATATTCAAGAATAGGAGAACAAGGGTGATAGGATATTGGGGAAAAGGCACAAAGGAAAAGATATGGTCTGGATTATTAGGGTCCCTATGACTGCCTCAGCTTCTCCACGGCAGCATCCACATCACCTCCTGTAGCAATGAGGGCCTGAAGATTGGCTTCAGGATTCAGAAACCCCATAGCCCGCAGTTGTTCGAGCTGCACTCGAAAGTGAGCCTCAGGTTGCAGCTGCTGAGGATTGGCATTAGCCAGGGCTTGCAGTGTCTGGAGGAAGGAAGTAGAATGGAAGCCCAACTCTTCCAAGGAGCACTGTGTCGGTGAAACTTCAGGAGCCGGGGGTGGTTGGGTGTCTTCAGTCATAAGGGCACCTTCTCTAGTTTCTGCACCTGCAGCTACATTCCCCAGCCCTCCCCGGCAAGGCATGAACCAAAATAGAAGGCAAGGTGCTTCAGTAGCCAGGATCTGCAGGCCCTGCTCAATCTGCAGCAGAGCTTGCATGGCACGGGGATTTGCCATGGCAGACTGAAGGTGCAATAGCAGTGGCAACTGCTGCTGCATCTCGTTCTGATATTGTGAGAACTGATTCATGCCAACCGGCCTCAGAGGTATTGGATATGCCTGTGGTGGCAGCCAGGGAGTGTCAGGGCCTCCAGGAGCGGGTGCCATGGAGGAAGGTTGTGAAGCAACATATGGGGTCCTGTTGGCAGAATCCCCCAGCCCAGAGACAAGATCACGCATGCTAGTGTTGTGGCCATTAGAGCCTTTCCCTGACCCATCGTGGCCTCCATCTTTTCCAGTGCCGCTTCCTGTAGGGCATTTCAGAAACGCTGGACAGGAAGTCTTTCCCTTGATGGATACTGACTCCCTGGGGAGCTGCTGGCCTGACCTAGTTTCCTGAGATGAGGCTGAAGCTGGGGGAACTCTATTTCCTGGTGGTGGTGGCGCTGATGGTGGTGGTGGTAGTTGCAGATTTGGATTGAGGGTGGTTCCAGTTCCCTGCAGATAGGTTCCTAAGGACTGGGAGTTATCATACAATTGCTGGAGATACTCATAGAGCCCTAAATTAGCCAGAAAGTTTGGAATTCTATTTCTAATTTGCGATATATCCTGATCCCCAGGCTGCCTTCTTTGCCTGCCACCTGAGCCTCCATATGTGGAAGTCCAGGGGTTGGGGAGAGGATCACAATTCTCCGTCCTTGAAGGTAGGCTACTGGTGGCGGTTGCGCTGGTAGTGGATGTGGCAAAAGGATTGCCACCAAACTGCTCCTGTACTGCATTTAGCATTGGGTCCATAATATCAGTATACATGGTACGCAGCACATTGTAGCCACCAGGGATGCTTTCCAGATTACTTAGCGCCCGATCCTGGCTACGCATCATCTCCTGCATCATGGCAGGGTTACGTAGAAACTCTAGTGTCTGCCGCATTATTTCAGGGTTGTTGAGTATATGCCCAATCTCAGGGTTTTGTTGGATCAACTGCTGCATATGGGGATTGTCAAGAACCAGCTGGCGCACTAGACCTGTGTTGGACAACAAACCCTGGATAAAGGGATCCTCAATGAGCTGAGCCACAAAGTCAGGCACAGATACATGCTGCCACATCAGTGAGTTTGCCTGGTCAGTAAAGTTCCCGGATCCCAGGCCCAGCCCACTGAGGCCTGTAAGGACACCTAAGTTGAAAGTCGGAGGTCCGTCTGCTGAGTACATTGGGCTTGGTGTTGGAAGTGATCCGGGACTGGGGTCAGGGGTCTGGACTGAAGAAGTTGAGCCCTCAGTTCCCATGGTGCGGCGTTGCATCTTGATGACCAGATGAACAGTGAGGCCATCTCGCACTCCACACTGTGCCAGTGAATCGGGGTCCTTGAGGATTTTGCCAGCAAAAATGAGTACCAGCTGATCAGGGTGGGCCTTAAAACGCTGAGATATCTCTTCCTTCAGCTGCTGGATGGTGCATGTGTCTGTAACTGAGAAATCCTCCTTGTCCTTGGGCGTCTTCACTGTCACCTTGATGAGGTGGGGATCCTGGACTGGTACTGGATTGCCCTGTGGCAGGGCCTCTCCACTTTTGGCCATGGTGAGTAGCAGGAGACCCAGGTCTATGGGGACACAGCTGAGGGAGGAGAGGCAGGTAAGAGACTGAGGTCACTTTTCTAAACAGTGAAAAAAGTCAGAATCATGGGCATAATAAGGGTCTTGGGCAAAGGAACAGTACACACAGAAGGAGCTTTTGAAGGATGATGGCATTGAGATGGCATTTGAGAACCTGGGAAAGAATTCTATAAATAATGATTAAGGGGTCAAAGAAAAGCTTTTTCTGGGGCATACACACCAATTCGCTGTGACCCCGTCCTTCCTCTTATGCAGGGCTCCAAACCACCCTCATCTTGCTGCACAGCCACCCCTGAGACTTTCTGGGCCGGAACCCACTCCAATGGGTCCCCTCTATGACCTCAGTACTGACATCATAATCTCACACACCGGATTATTGAGTTTTCTCCAAGACGCTCAAAATCGATGGGAACTCCTGTGCTTCCTCTCTCCTGCCCCATGCACTCTCACTCGTTATCTTTTCCATTTCCTGTACTTGAATTGCCTTTCTCAGAATGAGTGTCCTCGAAGGACGACATCTCAAGTCAAAAGCTTTTCCACACAGCCTCATGTGAAGTATTGGGAGAGTCAGACTGAGCCTGGGCAATTGTGAAAAGCACTTTAGTTCTTTATGTTGCTGTAAAGACCTGAATTAAGCTGCATCCTGTTGAAAATCTTTTCTGTAGAATCCTATTTTCCTTCCTCTTTCTGTCTCAAAATTAAATAATATACATGTGTTTGCAAAGCATGACTTTTTTTCATTTTGGGTATAAGAGAGGATTCAGGGAGGACGTAAAGCTTATTTCCTTTTAAAAAAGAAAAAATTGGGCCCAGCATGGTAGCTTAGCGGCTAAGGTTCTTGCCTTGCATGCACCGGGATCCCATATGGGCACCAGTCCATGCCCTGCTGCTCCACTTCCTTTCCAGCTCCCTAAATGTGGCCTGGGAAAGCAGTGGGGGGTGGCCCAAAGCCAAGGGACCCTGCATCCATGTGGCAGACCTGGAAGAGCTCCTGCTCCTGGCTTTGAACAGGCTCAGCTCTGGCCATTGCAGCTATATGGAGAGTTAAACAGTGGATGGAAGATCATTCTGCTTCTCCTCTCCTTAAATCTGACTTTCCAATAAAAATAAATACAGTTTTTTTTAAAAAAAAAAAAAATCGTCTCTGAAGAAACTCAAAAAATGAACTTACCAAAAGAAAAATTCAAAGATCAGAAAATAAGCAGAGTGTTAAACAAAATTAACAAATTATTAGTCATTGATTCTCTTTTCCACTCTCCATCTCTCTCCCCCTATCTCTGTCCCCACTTCAAAAAAAATAGAATAGGGCCTGGCGCAGTGGCCTAGCAGCTAAAGTCCTCGCCTTGAACGTGCCAGGATCCCATATGGGCACAAGTTCTGGTCCCAGCAGCCCCACTTCCCATCCAGCTCCATGCTTGTGGCCTGGGAAAGCAGTCAAGGATGGCCCAAAACCTTGGGACCCTACACCCGTGTGGGAGAGCTGGAGGAAGTTCCTGGCTCCTGGCTTCAGATTGGTGCAGCACCAGCTTTGCAGTCACTTGGGGAATGAATCATCAGATGCAAGATCTTCCTCTCTGTCTCTCCTCTCTGTATATCTGACTTTCCAATAAAAGCAAATAAAACTTTAAAAAAATAAATATTAAAAAATGTAACTATGTCAAATAATGTTGATGGGTCAGTCAAATGAGAACTGAAAGATAATCACTGGATTTAACAAGACATAGAATTCAAGATCATGATGAAACAGTATTTGTGAGTGTCGTTGCAACAGAAATCCTGGTTGGACTCTATTTAAGAGACAATGCAGTGGGTTGAAAAGGATGTGAGTCTATACATGATGTGAATGGTGTGGATGCGGAAACGTGAGACAAAAAGTATTGAGTCATGTTATTTTAAAAAAATTCTATTTTTTCGAAATGGGGGGAGAGGGGGAGAGAGAGAGAGATGGAGGGAATAAAAGAGAAAACACATGTATAAATGCTTAATAATTTGTTAAGCATAGAGTTCACATGAGACTGGTCTCATGCTTTTATTCAGGTGGAAACAATCCAATGACAAGGAAAAACCAATACAAGAGGAAAAGAAAGATTTTGCAAGAGTAAATCCTTAAGGATAGCAATAGATTGGTTGCCAGTGTTATGAAGAGTAATCATTACAGAAGAATGAAGGACAAAATGTGTAGCTAAAGATGTAAGCTGGTCAGTTAAATTGGTAGCAGACACTTAAGTTCTTTCTAATCATTTCTGACTGCCTCTTAAATAAAACCTCAACTGAGATTCAGAATTTTAGAAAGGGAATGTTGAGTATTTCATAATAAAAATGCATGAATGAGATGATCATTTCAAAAATAAAGTTGTGAATTAGTCAGGACAAGACTCTCCAATGCCTTCTGAAACAGAAGTGTTTGCTAAGTACTTTAAATTCTGTGTTTCCATATACCCATCAAATGATTCTGACGCAGTCTGGTGAGAACCATGGGGCTGGGAGAATGCAGTTTTGAGAATGGCTAGAAGATGTCCAAAATAAAAAATTAAATGAAATTGATTGGTACAGGTATGTGTTTTTGTCTGCTTACACAAAGATTAGTTGAATAGTTCTGGATGTATTTGTAACCAAGATGAGTTTACTAGCTAAAAATTATTGCCAAAATGAAATAGACATTTGGTTTACTGGTTAAAAGCCTGTATCCTCTTTTCAGAATACCTCAGTTTGATATTCACTCTGCTCCTGACCCCTACTTCCTACTAAAGTAGACATTGGAAGGCATCGCTGATAACCATGAGTGTGATTGAGACCCTGATATCCATGTGGGCAACCTGGCTCCTGGCTCCAGTCTGGCCAGCCCAGCCTTTGCTGTTGTGGGCAATGTAGAATAAGCAAGTAGGTAGAATTTTTCCCTGCTTATTATGTCTCTTGAGTGAATGAGTGAAATTTTTAAGAAAATCAGAAAGTATAAAATGTTTGAAAATGGAATAGTACCAGAATGATTATACTAGTTTTCAGAAAGTTATCTTTTTTTAGGAAACTTATTTATTTATTGACAGGCAGACCAAAAAAAAAAAAAAAAGGTTGAGACAAAGACAGAGTTGTCCACCCAGGTTCACTCCCAAATGGCTGCAATAGTCAGATCTGGATCAAGGAAAAAGCAAGATCCAGGAACTCTATCCAGGTATCCCACGTGAGCAACAGAGCCGAAACATGAGCCATATTCCACTGCCTTCCCACGGGCATCCGCAGGGAGCTAGGTCAGAAGGAGAGCAGCAAGAACTCAAAGCAAAGTTCTAATATGGGATGCCAGCATCATAAATGGCAGCTTAAACTGCTGCCGTTCCACAATGCCAGCCCTGTGGAGTACTCTTAAGGAAAAACATAGGGTAAAGAAGCAACAAGAAAGTGCATAAACGATATCTAGCCTTATCAACATCCATGGTGAATGAAAAAGTAGTCACCTCTACTGGAGAGCCCCGTCCTCAGTGAACAGATTTTCACTATAGGTAAACTAAGGGAACCACTAGGAATGGGGCAACAGATCTGGGGGCTGTAGTGTTGCTCCGTTTTGAGTTCTAAATGGTAGGGCAGAAAGGTTTGTAGGATTGGGGATGAATGGAAAACTGAGGCTGATTAGATTTTTTAAGTATTTTGGAATGAAAACTAATATGGCATTGGCAGCCTGGACTACTTATGTTAAGTGATGCAAATAAAGTACAAGATTTAATCAGACTAACAGGTGTTTAATATGGAAGTGAAAAGTTCATGTCTCCTAAAAATCTATTTACTTACTTATTTATTTGAAAGACAGAATACCAAAGATGGATCTTCCATTTGCTGACTGATTCCCCAATGACTACAAAAATGAGGGTTAAACCAGGCTGAAGTCAGAAGCCAGAAATTCATCAGGGTCTCCTAAGTGGGTGGCAGAAGGCTCAGAATTTTGGCTATCTTCCACTGCTCTCCCAGATGTATTAACAGGGAGCTGTGCTAGAAATGGAGCAATCAGGACTCTGGAACTCCGGAATGGAACACGGGGGTGCTTCAGGAAATGCCATAAACCACTGTGCCACAAGACCAACACTAGGAACTTTATGAGCCCTACGTTCTTGATAATAGCAATGTGAAGACTAACGAGGGGTGACTTGTTGCACACAAATATCTGTGGGTCCCTTTCAGAATGCAAAATCTTACTATCTCTCAGCTCCTTTGGAACAAATACTGTCATCAAATTTTGTAAAACCTCTAAATGGCTTCATTGCTTTCCTAATTTCCCTTTATTGTAGTCTATTTCTCACCCATAGACAGACTGATAAAATGAATTATTCCATTCCTTTGCTCAAAAAACCCAAAGTTTTTTTTTCTTATTTGTATTTCTCCTCTTTTAACTAAAATTGAAAAAAAAATACAGATATTCATAAAGGTACTTAACAAACTTTTAGTTCTATTAAAACTTAAATCAAAGGGGAAGTTATTTGGGAAACAGTGAAGGAAGCATATGAAAGAGACACGGATGGGAATTGGGTGCAACAGTTTAATACGCTTCTCGGGATCCCTGCATACCATATGAGTGCTTGAGTTTGAGTCTCACTTCTGCTTCTGATCCAGCTTTCTGTTACTGCACATGGTGGCATGGGGGAAGGGGGGTTAGAAGGGGGATAAACAATGATCTCAAATGGTTGGCTCCTTACCAACTGTGTGTGGTACACCTGGATTAAGTTCTTGGCTCCTGGTTCAGTCTCAGCTGGTGACAAGCATTTGAAAAGTGAACCATCAGAAGGGAGCTATTTCTCTCATTAATCATACCACCTTTCAAATAAATAGAAGTTGCTTTTTAAAAAGACATTGAATTCGATGAAAATAGGGGTGCAAATGGAAAATATCACTCATCACTATAAAGAGAGCAATTTAAAGAAATAGGTGGAGAACAAGGAACTCCTGGGTTTCATTTGTAGGTTTTTCAGGCTTGTAATGTATTAAAACATGTCCATTGATTTTCTATTACATTCCTAGTAAAATCCAAATGACTCACCAGATCTACAAAGCTCTGCTATATGTCTCAGATTTCTCCAGCTGTATCACCTGCTCGTACCTCCTCAAACACAGAGAGATCACCTCGGGACTGCGGCTGTCACCTACTCATCTCTAGACTAGATCACCCCCTGTCCCAGGGAACTGCACACTTAGCTTCTATATTCCTTCTAATTTTTACTCATTCATCATATGTTAAGAGAAACCTTCCCGAACTCCCTAATTAGAAATATTTTTCCTGATAAACTTCTCTTAATCACATTTATTAACATACCTATAAGTTAATTAGAATGCTATCTCCATAAAAGCTAACAAACTCCATAAAAAATGGAAAGTTGCTTTGTCAGTGTTATTTCTTTAATATCAAGGGGTCTGGCGCAGTGGCCTAGCTTTGGGACCCTGCACCCACATGGGATACCCAGAAGAGGTTCCTAGTTCCCGGCTCCCAGCTTTGGATTGGCGCAGCACCGGCCGTTGTGGTCACTTGGGGAGTGAATCATCAGATAGAAGATCTTCCTCTCTGTCTCTTCTGCTCTCTGTATATCTGACTTTGTAATAAATAAATAAATAAATAAATCTTTAAATATATATGTATATATATCAAAAACAGCATAAAAACAGCATCGACTTACAAAATCATGGTAAGAGCTTATTAAATTATTTAATAATTGAATACTTGAATCTAGGATGATTGAATATGCTGCCCAGCTGGCAAGGTCCGGATGATTTGGGAAGAAGAGAAGATGAGAGTGGGCTGGAGCAATGACTCAACAGAATAATCCTCTACCTTCAAGCCCAGCATCCTATATAGACACTAGTGTGTCCTGGATTCTCTACTTGCCATCCAGCTGCCTGCTTGTTACCTGGGAAAGCAGTCAAGAATGGCCCAAATCATTGAGACCTGGCACAGTCATGGGAGACCTGGAAGAAGCTCCAGGTTTCTGGCTTCAGATCAGCTCAACTCTAGGTGTTGAGGTCATTAGGGGAGTGACTCAGCAGATGGAAAGTCATTCTGTCTCTCCTTCTCTCTGTAAATGTACGTTTCTAATAAAAATAAATAAATCTTATAGAGAGGGGGGGCGAGGGAAAGAGAGAAAGAAGATGGGACTGTAGCAACCAGGGAAGTAGAGCTACAAATATTAAGATACACTCAAGAACATGATTCTTTTTAAGGAGCTCTACTCTAACTGGGTGTTGGGATGTGCAGTGAGGGTGGCAACATCTGTCTTTGCTAATGACAATAATGACAGCTCATTAAGTGTTAATTATTGAGGCAATGGCAAATAGGAGACCCCAGTGGTAAATGTATGCACAAGGACTTGATTGACTCGTGGACACTTACTATTCTGATACACTCCAAGTCATTCTTCCACTTTCTTACAAACTTCTAATAATTAGCATGAGAAATCAAGTCTTTATGACTGAATACCTGGGTCTATCTACTTAATATGCTTCCTTTTCCATATGGGTGTGTTAAAATATTCTTCTGTTATATGTGTGTTTGCTTATGTAGCTCTAGGTCTTTGTGTATATCTGTGTATGTACATGGTTATGTGTGTACTTGTAGGTTGACTCAGTGTACTGACGTAAGTGAATTCTTGACTACATGAGTATTTGCATATAATACAGTGGTGTGTGAACCTTTAATAATTCTTCTCTGTATTAATGTGTGCATTTATGTGTCTCTGTGTTTCATGTCCTTGTGTTAGGTAAGACAGGGATATCACACAGTTATTTGCTTTTGTGGGAAAGAGCCAAAGTCAAACCTTAGACGGGAGCAAGTAGGTGTAGCCATTTTATTGACAGATCTTCCAGCCATGACCAATGGTCTGTTACTCAGCAGCGAAAGCATGGGTTGAGTGCTTCTCTTCCAGGACTTTTTCTGCACAGAAGTATCAGGAGAGGCAGAAAAAGCAAGTGAGGTGATCAACTGTGTCTGATCTGTTAGTAAGAAAACAGGTAGGTGTGATGGATTAGAATCTCCGGGTTCTCTTGAGCTTGCAGATAGCAGCATTGGTGTCCCCCTCGGTAGCAATGAGGGCCTGGAGGTTGGCATGGTGATTCCCAAATCCCATAGCCTGGAGACATTCCATCTGCTTGCTGAATCGAATTTCAGGGGCTTGTAGAGGGTGGGAAAGGTCTCCAGCTAGGGTCTGTAGCCTTTGTAGGACAGCTTCAGATTTATGACAACACTCAGGTGCTTTGGGGTCAGCCACCTCTGGAGCATCACTGGTCAAGGGAACTGCATCAGGATAATTACAGCTGGGGGCAGGGAGCCAACCCAGGCGCCATAGATAGGGGGCAACCCAGGGTAGAAGAATAGGAGCTTCTGTGACCAGCAGCTGGAGACCCTGCTCAATCTGCAATATTGCTTGTGATGTTTTAGGATTGGCTAGAGATAGAAGCAGATCAGAAAGCTGAGTCTGTTGCAAGAATGTGGGCAGCTGTTGCCTGCACTGTTCACTCAGCTGGGGTATATTCATGAACATCATCATCTGAGCTGCCAGGCAGGGGTTGCTCATAAGAAACTGAGTCATGCCTCCTGTGATGTGGGAGTTGGTTTGCTCATCTGACAGCTGGAGATCATCCTCTAATCTCTGCTCAGAACTCTCTAGAGAGATGATACCATTCTTGTCTTCTTCCTGAGGCTGCTGATTGAACTTCATACCAGATAAAGCTGATGTTCTTGCTGGCTGTTGAATGGTACAGATATTACCCCTATCCTTGGTGGAAACCGTGGCAACATTGTCCCTAGAAGTACAGTTGACCCCACTGATGGTGGTGTTGGTTGAAGTGATTGAGGATAAGGCATGGGAACTAGTATAGATGACCCGGGTTGTGGAGAGCTGAGAGGATGGCAGAGACAGAGATGAAGGTTGGTCTTCTGCTTCTTCTGGTGCTTGTCCTGCTAACAAGGCTGTGAAAAGGTTACCCCCAAAAGGGTCTTGCAAACTGTTGATTTGGTCAGTAGTATCAGCACAGCTCTGATTCATGACATTGTTCCCACCTTCAATTGTATCTAAGGCCAGGGAGTGTGGCAGATTAACTGAATGCTCAAGAGTCTGTGCGGGTCGTTGTATCTGCATTGCCTCTTGGATCGTGGCAAGGCTTCTCGCCAGCTCCAAAGTTTGACATAAAATGTCAGAATTGTCAAGGAGGTGAAAGACTTCTGGGTTCTGCTGAATCAATTGCTGCATGTCTAGGTGTTCAGAAATGAACTGCTGCATGAACTCCATGTTAGACAGCAGTCGCTGGATACTAGGATTCCCTAGTATCTGTGCTATGTGTTCTGACTGACCTACTTCCAGATCCTGGGTATGTAGCTTGGGCACAGCAGACTCCACAAACAGGACTGATTCCCCCGATGCTTGACTCTTATCAGCAGGCTGGCACACCTCGCTGCTCTTTCCTTTGGTGTTTCTCTCCTGGTGGCACGACTCATTTGTTGACAGGTTCCGAGAAGAATGGGCTAGGGATCTGGAGCCATGCTTGGACTTGATGACCAGGTGGATGATGTGGCCATCCACTATGCCCCACTGGCCCAGTGTGTCATGGTCTTTGAGAAGACGGCCCATGAAGACCAGCACCAGTTGATCCATTTGGCATTTGAAATGAGCTGATAACTTCTCCTTGAACTGCCTCACCGAGGTATCATCAGCTACAACAAAGTCTTTCTGGTTGCCTGGTGTCTTCACTATTACTCGAGTGACACTGGAGGAGATTTTCATGTCTTCAGGGCGATCTGAAGGATGCCTGCCGTGGGACATCCTGGGTGTTCGAGAGATGACATGTGGCATGGAGCTCAGGGTGCAGGCAGATGGAAGCAGATAGAAGTAGGGGCGGAGGGGGTGAGGGCAGCTAAAGACTTGTGCTGGCCTTCGTCTCTAGTTGGTATGCTCAGGCCACAGGCTAGTTTCCTTGCTGCCCAAAAAATAATGAGTGACTACGCAAGGGCCAGTACCTGTGATGTTCTACCCTCACCCCAGTTCTCCAGATGTAGCCCAGCTGAGGTCTGTTGTGGCTACTGATTCATACTTGGCATGGAATGGACTAAATCCTCCCAAGGTTGTCCTGCCTGCCCCACCCATTAAGGCCATGACCTCTTCAGAAAAGGGATATTGTGATGTCAATTTTAGCTTCACACCTTAACAGGACCAGCCAGGAAAAATGGACATATTTGGGAGGCAAATTCTCTGTAGTAAAACAAAATAAGGCAATTTTACAGAAAATTGAGAGCAAAGTTCCCCCATGAAAAAAAGAATAGATAAAAAAAACAGATTTTCTAAACTTGGAATACTGTGGCAGTGAGTGCTATGTGCTTAACTGTGTGAAACACTGAGTCTGGTGAAGCCTAGAGACAACCACGCTCGTGTGAATAAGAACATCTTTTCCCCTAAAGAAGGACTGGAACCATTCTGCCACTGATTGGGAGAAGGTGGGCCTTAGATATGAAAATGGAATCAGAGGTCTAACGTGAAAGGAGAGGTCATTTTTTTCGGAGTCCCAGATTTTGAAATGCTAGACTTGAGAGTATTCTCATGTGGTAGGGGAAATACCTTTTCTCCCTTAGGAAGCCAACATAGGAATACTTAAGGATATTTCCTTTAAATGTCTATTTATGTACTTGAAAGGAATGGAAGGAAGGTTAGGCAGCTTGGCCAGGCCAAAGCCAGAAGCCTGGGGCTTATTTTCTGTTTCCCACATTGATTTCATAGTCTTGAGTACTTAAGGTATCATCCTCTGCTTCCTATGGTATGCATTTGCAGCTGTTGTCAGTTCAGAGCTTGATATGACCATAGAATGTGGCTGTCTCGGGTGACAATTGCTGCACCACATGTCCATCGCAAGTTTATGTTGATATATTGGATATAAATAGAAGTATTTGTGTGTGTGTGTGTGTGTATAGATAATTTTAAATACACGTATTTATTGAATTCTTATTTGGCACAGTATGCATGAGTGAAAGTGTATGGATTATTTGCATGACCTGGGAGATTCCAGAATCTGAATTCTTATGTATTCCATACACTTACCTGGAGCAGTGAGGAGTCCTATACACACAGACCAGGGACATGCAGAGCTCAAACTCACATGTTCAGTGTGTTAAGAGATAAATAAAGAGATGGAAGACAATTAACCAAGAGAGTCCCCATTGCCATATCAAGAATCTTTTATTGAAGAACACATACACCCCAGAGTAACTCATGTCAGATCTGATCACCATGATGCTGCATTAGCAGTTATTTAATCAAGCAGGACTCATGATTAACATATTCTCTTTCTCTCTCTCTCTCTGTCTCTCTCTCTCTCTCTGTCTGTCTGTCTCTCTCTCTCTGTGTGTGAAATAATTAGCTTGATCCAGAGCAGTCAAAGTTACTTTTCAGACTAAAACCCTGTTTCTTGGCTCTCCAGGGACACCATAGGATGATAGCGGCAAGAGAGAACTTTATCCAGCTCCCCTGAATCCTATGCCCTGTTACCAGGTGTTCTCAACCTGTGACTTTTACCATTCTAGGTCACAGAAGGCTAGAATTTCAAATCTGAATTCATAGTTTTTGAACATAGAATACGAGATGCCAAAACATCAGGGAGAAGGATCAACATTCTCCTAACACTTTGCTTTATTTCCCAATCAAACTCACCTAGATCAGTTTAAGAGAAATCCTTCAGGTGTTGATTGCGATACTAATTATAAGAATAATTAAGGAACTATTCCCAATATCTCCCAATCATGAGAATGAACAAGCCATTTTGGTGATTGGCCCTGCTGTCAGTAAAGAAGAAGACACACTCTACCAATGCCTTGTCTCACGGCATGGAAGGTTTTGGGGGATTGACAGGTTTTTGTGGGGCATTAGCCCTGGAGGCTCTTTTGGTTGGTGATCTTGGTAGCTTACACTTCAGGAAGGTGAGGTCATAATTGACCAGATAACCATCATTGAAAACATAAAGCTTTTGGTCCAGGGGGCAGTAATTGATACCTTGCAGGGTTTCCAGCATCTTGTCCAGTATAATGCTGAGATGCTGTTCCTGCCCAGTGGCAGTATCGAAAGCATAGAAGATCTCCTCTTGGCGAATGCTCAGCGAGCGTAAGGTATAAAGCACCCCACAGGCCATGAAGGCCCCCGACAGGGCTGGCTTGTACTGCCTAGTGTGCCAAGTTTTCTCCACTTCTAAGGTGCTGGTATTGAGACGACTTACAACTAGGTTGCCCCTGCTTCCCTCAGTGGCATAGAGCACCCACAGCCCCTTCTCATCAACAGCAAAATCCAAGGTCTTCCAGGGTACACCAGCATAAGAGAAACGGTCATTGTAGGTGGCACCAGGCAATGGGCGCTGTAGTACTATGGTGTTGGAGGCAAGATCCACCTTGGCCATGTCATTTGAACCATAGTAGTTAAAGTACATGAAGTTATTGTATACAGCATTTCCACTGCCGTCACCATAACCCATCTTCCGCTCTTCATAGTTCTTCAAAAGCACCAGGTCATCATAGGTCTTGTATAACCGATAGTAGTCAAAGTACCTAGGCCAAGACCCGCCCCCACACACACACATTGAGATCATTAGGTGACAGTGGTAAATGAAGTGAAATGAAGTACTGGGGCTGATACTGTGGTGTAGAGAGTTAGGCCACTGCCTACAATACTAGCGTCCCACAAGGGAGCCACATCGTGTCTAACTGTTCTGATCCAGCTCCTCGCTAATGTGTCTGAGAAAGCAGCAGAGAATAGCCCAAGTGCTTGAGCTCTTGCATCCACATAGAAAACCCAGAGGAATTTCCTGGCACCTGGCTTTGGTTTGGTTCAACACCAGCCGCTATGAACATCTGGGAAGTTGTTCAATGGATGGAGGTTTTTTGTCTCTTTTTCTCTTGTCTCTCCCTCTCTTAACTCTGCCCTTAAAAAAATAAATTGATCTTTAAAAAAAAGAAGCTACTACAAAAAATGTGCCAGTTATTATGTTAATTAGCATCAGGAACTTCAAAATCAAGCAGAATGTATTTGTAATGCATCATCATTGAGTAAACATTATGATGAAATAAATATATTAAAACCATTGTAAGAGAACCACTAAAAAAATGATAAAATAAAATTTTCCAGTAAAAGTTTCAGCAAGATAGCATGCCAGCTAGGAACTATATTTGCATGACCTCATTTAGTTATAATAAAATATTTCCACTAGGTTTTAATGCTCACAGATTAGGAGCCTAAGCATCATAAAAATTAAGTAATTTGGTCAAGGCTCTACACTTCATAAGTAAAATCTGTGAAAGAAACAACACAATAACATAGGCATCCTGTAATGGGACATAGTTCTGGAGCTGCATTTAAGGAGATTAATGCTCACAGTATTGTTTTGCAAAGCCCATTGAGGACTCATACCTCTTGACACTGGGATATAAATCCTAACTTAACCACAACTGTGAAAAAATTCAAAACTCACAAATATGTGAGTGTATGTTGCAGGTTACAAAGCACCTGTAAGAACTGGAGAGTAAGCTTGTTGGTAATATTAATCTTCCTCAGATAAGCTCCAGCTAGGACTCTTCTCTGAATGGATCAATGCACATTCATCCCTTCTTCTGATGACTTTGTGTTCCCCTGACTCTAAAACATTTCCACAAATATTGACTTTAAATATTCAATGAATTGTGCCTATTCCCCTAGGTGAGTTGGAGATTTCACGGAAGACGTATTCATCTATTTATTGATTGCTTAGCCATTGCTTCATTTTTTAAGTATTTAAGAGCATCTACTATGATATCTATACTTTTTAAGCATAGCCTATGTAATCATTTCATACACTGAATTATCTTACTTTTAGAGATGTCTAAGAATGCGCCTGAAATGTTAACTCATTTATTCAGCTTCACTGAATGTAAGTACTGAGCTTCTTACTCAATTTCAAGCTGAGCTGGAGACATGCTCTTAACCTCACCTAAACGGGAAGAACTAAGTGTAGAAAGACTTCTTGTGATAGGATAAAACTAGAAATAGAACCATCTTTGAATTATTGTAAAATTAAAAACTTTGGACAGTGTTTTGAAGCAAGCTCAGGAAGTTTGGACCACACTGTCCCACAAAAAGAGCACTGGCAGGTAATCTGTCAGTTTTAGAGTTCATGGAGGAGTTTAGGCTTGTGCTACAAAGACACTTGTTGGAGTAAGATTAGGGAATATTTGGGATGAACATGGCTGTAAAAAAGGAAGTTACTCAGGCCTCACCTGCCATCCGCACTCAAGGGGGCCACCCAATAAAGGGAAGAGGTCTGATTTGGTGCTGAGTCTCGGCCCCAGGAACCCGCCTTGTATGAGAAGCCCCTCCAATTGAGCTTCACTACAAAGGGTCTGCTGACTTTCTGGAGGCTTCCACAACTGCAAGAATCTAGAAGGAAAAGCAGACAAAGTAACAGCTGGAGTAAGGCGCACAACTTTCAGAAAGCATAGTGTGAACTATAATGACCATGTGAGTTTTCATTGTATAGCCACACACATGAGTACATTTACATGTATACATCCAAGCTAGCTTTGCTTAAACAGAGTGTGTGTGACTATAGTGTATCCATATGTCTGTGTATATAAGCATGCATGTATGGGAATTTACTAATCTTGGGTTACATTCCCTAAAGCACACACAAAATAAAGAAACAAAATACTAAATTTTCATCAAGATCTTTACTGCCTCAGCACACCATATCCAGTACTGAACTCATACTCCAGTCTCCAGGGAAAGGAGATCTTAGGAAATTTGGTCTGTGAACTCACCGGGGGGCAAAAATGAACCATGATGTCTGTAAGTCTCTTCTTGTTCCCTTTCTCTCTTGCACTCATGTAGTTGGGCCTCGAGGATATCCACCTGCTGTTGGAGAGCTCGAAAGCTGCTCTGGTCCGCATCAGCCAGAAGTTTGAGCATAAGACTGATATTAGCTACCTAAGGAGATGAGACACCATGGAAATAAGTCACAGAGTGTTCTTAAGAACTGAACTCCAGGGCCCGGTGCCATGGCGTACTGGTTAAGGTCCTCGCCTTGCACACCCGGGATCCCATATGGGCACCGGTTCTAATCCTGGCAGCCCCGCTTCCCTTCCAGCTCCCTGCCTGTGGCCTGGGAAAGCAATTGAGGACAGCCCAAAGCTTTGGGACCCTGCACCCATGTGGGAGACCCAGAAGAGGCTCCTGGCTTCGGATTGGCTCAGCTCAGGCCGTTGCACTCACTTGGGGAGTGAATCATAGGATGGAAGATCTTCCTCTTTGTCTCTCCTCTCTGTATATCCACCTTTCCAATAAAAATAAAATAAAATAAAATAAAATAAACTGAACTCCAGCAGCTCTTACCTGTCTCCACTGAGAAGAACTGATTTGGGTAACTAACAAACATGGAAGAACAGATAGATGTAAGACTCTAAAGGAGAGAAAGATTCTCTCTCTCTCTCTCTTTCTCTCTCTTGCCTATTTTTACAGAGAAGAACAGAGAGAGGTCTTCCATACACCAGTTCACTCCCCAAATGGCTGCAGTGGCCAGAACTGAGCTGATCCAAAGCCAGGAACTTCTTCCAGGCTTCCCATGTTGGTGTAGGGACCCCCAAAGACTTGGGCCATCCTGCACTGCTTTCCCACAGGAAGGGATCTGAATGGGAAATGGAGCAGCCAAAACACAAACTGACACCCAAATGGGATCTCAGAACTAGCCACAGCACCAGCTACCACCCCCCTCACAGAGTGTTCTTAAGAACTGTACCCAGCAGCTCTCATATGTCTGAACTAAGATGATCCTTCTCCAGAAAGAACTGATTTGAAAAATTCACAAATATGTGAGGACACATATGTAAGACTCTGACGGGGAGAAGGATTATTTAATCCATCTACTCACCTGGATTTGGAGTTGGTGGAGGAGATACCTAGCCCCATTAACTCCTCCATTGGCATTAAGCTGGGTCAACAACTTCTGTACTCTCTCCAGCTCTAAGTGCAGCTGATCCAAGGTTGAGGGCTCAGATGAGAGAGTGAGGACACTGGAATTTCTGAACTTCAGCATGTGGCTCATATTCAGGACCTGGTTGTTGTGGCCTTCAATGGCAGGTACAAATGCACCAACCTAGGGTGAGAAAGGCACTTTTCCTAAATGTCAAAACCTTTGGCTCTTCTCAGCAGCTCATATCACATCATCAGAGAGTCATTCAGCATACCAAGCACTCCAATATCTGTCACTTTGTTTGCTCCTGTTAGCATTCCTTGAGCTAGGCATTAGTTTTATCTTCATTGAACAATCGAGAATACCAACATCCTTCCTTGTGATTTAGGGAGATCTTACTCCACTACCACTCTGATTTTATTTCCCCTTTTCTGATTAGAGCTAGCCCTTGAGTAGATTGCTGGATGTGCGAATAAATGAGAAGAACCACAGCTTCATTTTACAATGTCCATCAAATTTTCCCCAAGAAATCCAAATTGATTCTTACAGTGAACAACTGACAACATATGATTGTTGATGCAGAAACTTTTCAGACTAATTCACAAATTCCTCACACACTCACACACACACATACACACACACACAGTGCCCATATTTTTAACTCTTAAATTCATATTTATCTGACTTTGTGAGCTGATCATCCAAGTCTTTAGTTTTTCTACATTTATGTCTAAATTTCTTCTTATCTTACAATGAACTCATACCTATTAATTCACCCATTCATCTAGGAGGCACTTCCCATATAAGCTTCTCTAACTTCTGTTATTACCACTGATTGGGTGGGGGGAAGCCTAAGAACCAGTGCCTAATTTCTCCTTCATTCAAAGTATTTATCTCAAAGATAAGACTACACTTCTCTCAGTAATTTCTCTGCTGCCAGTACTCACCCTCATGCTGGGTCCACTATAGAACATACTTGAATAATTCCCAACCCCAACCCACAGCTTGAGTACTCACCATGGACAATACTTGCTTAAACTTGCTAACAAGTTCCTGGGTTGTACCTTGTAGCTGTTCTAGCTGCTGTAGCAGGATGGATTTGGGCAAGTGGACCACACAATAGCATGTTTCACCCTCATCCAGAGAGCTTGGCATAGTTCTCACCATCTGCAAAAACATAGTCAGGGTGGGTGTGTCATCCTTGGATCTGTGAAATCAACAGCATTTCAGAACTATCCAATTCATTTGGGCAGAGCCCTCAGCAAATACACACATCTGGACCCTGTGTTGACATGAGGTGACAATTCCTCACCCCTGGGTACTGGGACATTTGTAAAGTCATGTGCAGCTTCCCCCTTTTTTCTCCCCTCCGCCCAGAAACAAGAAAGGGAATGAGGAAATTTGGAATCAATGAGTTCACTCAATTTTCCAATCCTTTCCATGCTGATCAACCATGTAATCATTATGAAAAGTAAAATAATCATTTAAAAATATGCTAGGGCTGAGAGATACATAATTTGGAGTCTTCCTCATTTTGTTTATTATTGTGCTTGCATACTTAGTGTAGCCCAAATCTACTGAGTCTAAAGCCAGATCAGTGAAGTTCTAATTTTAGCTTTGTGACATTGGATAAAACATTTAAATCTTCTTTGCCCTAGTGCCTTCAGATTCAATATTGGGGTAAATTATGATGTTGGCTTTATTGATTTACTTTAGGAATTAGATAGATGGTTGATTGATTGATTACAAACAAGATAGAAATAAATATCTGTTAAGTATTTAGAATAGGAACCATTTGCCTCTGGCAGAATTATATATATTTAGTTACCACAGTTGTCTGAATTGATTTCTCCACTTCCTTTTGGAAGCTATCCAATCAACATCAGATTGAAAATTGTTACCTAATGTATTTTAGTAAGTCCCAACCATAGCTTTTCTGGTCCTCGAACACATAGCTTAATCCAACAGTGTAGTCAACCTGCCCAACAGTTTAGTCTTTTGCAGACAATAAATAAGATACCAAGGTCTGTGATATTTTGAATTTACCATCATTAACTCTAGTATCCTTAGCACACAGGAAGAAGGTGGTGCAGAAAACAAAGCCTTATAATCGAGCAGATGAACAGCCCAGAGTCCCTGTTCCATGATGTTCAGTTGATCTTCCCTGTTTCGTTCTATTTTTTTTTTTCAAATCAATAGAAAATAGAGAAAAGTGGGCATCCCATCCTCCTTCTGTCTCTTCCTACCACTCTCTTCACTCTCTCCCAGAACAGCAAAGTGACAAAAGAAGTAAGTCCAAAGCACAAAACCCCTACCTGCTGTGATTCCTCCACCCTCTGGTTCTGAGGTTGACCTGGGTACACCAGGGGCAGCAGCAACAGAGTGGGCAGCAGAGCTAGCACAGGCTGCATCTTGTAACAGCTAGCCGATCCAAGTCTTTGCTGCGCCCCCGGGCCTTTATCTCTAATCCATAATAGTCTTGGTGGGAGGGGATGCATATTTCAACATCATAGAGGGTTTGGAGAATAAGAGCATGTGACAGGGGTTAGAGGGAGGGTGGAGAAGAGTTACGACAGACTGGTACCCTAGACGTGGGGTGGAAGTGGGCCTGTCACTACAATCAGGATCTTCCTCCTCCATCTCCAAGCTGAATCTTCTCTTGCCCTTCTGGGTCCTCATGTCCAAACAGAGTAAGGTAAATCTGAGACATCCTAGGCAGGGCCTTGGGATGGTCTTGCTGGAGGATTATGACCTTCCTTTGGACTTTGAGAGAGGAAAGATTCTAAAAAGAAATGCAACACTGCTTGTTCAGTTCCAATTGTGTACCCTTGGCTGAGAGCCAAAGTACATGTATGGAAGAGACTATTTCAGCAACGCTGTACTGCATTGCTCTGTTATATTCCCACTCTCACCCCTAGCAATTGGCCTCCTCCACTGGCCTGGGTACTCTAAGTTTATCCAACCCGTTGCACTGCTTTTTATCATTGCGCTATTTAAATGTTTTCCATAAGTTCACTCATCCTAATGCCAGCAGACACCAAGAAAATCTGTCCTATAGGAAAGTCAGCTCCTGACATTATTGAGTCCTATACAGGAGAGCACCAAGGTTCAAATCCTTGAGCCTCAGTCTGGGGTTGAGAAAGAAGAAAGAATTTGATCCTTGAGGCCTGGGTACTAAGTCACAGCTCGATGTTTTCAGTGCTAAGCACTCTAAATTGCAACTGCTCCCTTTTTTTTTTTTTAACTATACCCCATGCACGTTTCTCAAGCAGTGGGCAATCCCACAGTGACTCAAGCACCTTGGTAGATGGCATATTTTCTATAAAGAGTGTGCCACCCCATTTTTCTGTAAAGGAATTTGGACTCTCTAGCTCTATTATGTTTCGATTATGCTTTTCTACTTCTTGGAGCACCTCAACTTTGTCTAGTATGGTCACGTAGCAGAAAAATCTCCTATTTCACCCAACCTTTAGAGCTTTCTCCATCCTATTTCTAGTGGGAAAAGGCATATAAAGCCACAGAGCATAGATGAGGGTGATATTCCTAGAAGATACACCTTGGGATTTGTTGGGGAAATCTTTCTTTATAGATTCTCACTTTCTCACTCCTTGCCAAAGTCCAGATTGATTCTCCACCAACTTCTCCATCCTGGCCTTGCAGTAACCATGGGATAAAGGGGAGCACAGAGGTCAGGAAAATGGCAGAAAAATGGTTTGAGAAGTCTAAGCTACCCAGAATAGAAAACTATATAGGATCAGTGTCCAGATGGGTGTCACTGGAATTATGAAAACGTATGCAGTGTAAGAGGGAGAGGAGGAAGGATGGGAGAACAGGACAGCATGAACAATGACAACTGGAGCTGGCCTCGTTTTCTCATACCTCATCAGCTATAACTAGCCAGTAGCAGAAATTATGAAAGAGTGGCCTAAGACTCTGATCATCTTAGGAAGGTAGCATAGGATTGCCCACTTCCTTTGCACTCATACACACACCTCAGTTAATAATCATCCAAGCCTGAAATCATGTGAGCTTTCAGAGTTGTGTTTTATTTTACTTACATTGCACAATTTCCCCACTCCCTCATCACTTTAGCAAACAAAGATCTTTTACTGAATGACAGATTAAACAAAAGACTCCTCTCAGAATCACCTTTTATTAACCTGCTTCTATCTGGGTAGAGTGCTGGAAAAAGACACGGTCCTCATCCTCAGGCTGTGTCCTGACCTCTAGGTTTGTCATGCCCCAGTGCTAACTACTTCTACATTTGTTTGAACCATATACAAACATCAGTACTAAGTTAAAAGAACAAATAATCTAAGGGAATAAAGACAGGCACACATAAATGAATTCGCAGCTCTCTAGCTATGTGAAGAGAATAGAATTTGGGTGAGCATAGGACCACCTGGGTATAGATGGAAGAGATACCTTTGACTGGAGTTCTGTCCAAAGGGATACTGCAACTTATCTTAGCCATTTGAGGACATATGTGAGGGACAGCAGAGAGTATACTCATTGCTGAGGACGGTCCCCCTGGGGACCCACCTTCCTCACTGAACCAGCCCTGAAGAGCCAAAGCAAGTGGCTGAGTCTCTGAGCAATCTGCTGGATTCACATCCCATAGACCACGGGGTTAAGGGCTGGGGGAACCACCATGTAGAGATTGGCCAATAAGATATGGATATGATGGGGCACTGTGCAGTGGTCGAAATAGTGAGCCAGGAAGGAGAAGAGTGCAGGTGTACAGAAGAGAATGATGACACTGGCATGGGCCCCACAGGTTCCTAAGGCCTTGTGGAGGGCACCATGGGATGACAGGAGGCAGACGGCTCTGAATGAAGATGTAGGGAGCACCTATGAGCCCTAAGTCCAGAACTGGGGAAAGCAATGTGGTGGCCAGTCCATATTAGATGTGGGACGTGTGTCTCCACATGCTAGCTGAGTCATATCCATATGCTCACAGTAGGTGTGAGAGAGCATCTGCCGTCCACAGTAAGGGTAGTTTCTGAAGCAGGACCACCAGTGGTGCCATGACACAGATACCACGAGTCACAGCAGCTACTGCCACTATAGCTACCACACGTTGGATCAGCAATGCCCCATAGTGCAAAGGCTGGCAAATGGCCACATAGCGGTCCATAGCCATGGCCAGCAGTACTGAGGACACAACAGTGAAAGCCACATGGGCAACAATGAGCTGGGCTAGACAAGCCCCAAAAGAGATCTCACCGGTAAGTCCCAGAGCACAGCCAGAGCTTTGGGCACTGTGGATGTGACCAGGATCAAGTCTGTGGTTGCCAAAAGTCCAAGCAGCTGGTACATGGGTGCCTGAAGTGCCTTGTCCGTGACCACCAGCCAGAGTGGAAGGGCATTTCTTGCCAAGGCTGCCATGTGCAATAGACACACAGATGCAAAAAGCCAGTCCTTCGAAGCCTCCAGTCCCAGTATTCCTATCAGGACAAAGGGTCCAGGTCTAGCGATCAGCTGAGTTTGATTGGGAATAGAAAGTAAAGAATCCATCTACATATCCTGGTTCCTCCTGGCTGTGTCCCTGGAGAGCATAAATGCACCCTGTCAGAAGGAACTATTGCGTCTATGGCGATGTTAGGAAGATGAGGCTTAAGATAGCACTGGGCAAACACCACCTTTGTGTCAGGCCCCGTTAAAAAATTTTGCACATACTGAATGATGTATTTCCCATCAGTCTTGTGGCTTTACTGACCTTCCTATTAATGCATCAAGAAACTTATTTTCTAAGAAGTTGATGTGCTTTATAGCTGGAAAATAGAAGAATCAGGATTTGAACCAAAATTCACCTGACTAAGAGACCAAATTCTTCTGATTGCTCTCTTATCTACTTGAAATGCCTCTCCTTCAGTTCAGGCATACAGCACTTTGGCGAAGTGTTTCCTAATCACCTTCCCAGCAGAAGTCATTTATGCTCCTTAAGCTTAATCCCATCAGCAGAACAGCCTCCTTGTTCTCTCCACTCAAGGAGAAATGTGATATGGAAGAGGGAAATACAGAATGGCTTCCAATGTCCTCACGGATCAAAGCCCAGATAAAGCTCTGAATCCATCATCTATTTCAAAAGTCACTTTCTTAGCTCAGATCCACTCGTCCAAACACAGTGTTCCTCCAAGTCTGCACAGAATTTTTTTTTCCCAGTTTCCTGTGACGTCCCTCCTGCCAGTTCTGTTCACTAGTCCTAGTCATGGGTCCCTCTTGACCAATGTATAAATCTACTCCCTGACCAAGGTCATGGCTCCTTTTTCCTATGTCCTTTGTCCATTGGAAGACACATTGGGCTCTGTTGAAGTCAGCTCGAGAAAATTTCCATTGAGTGGACTAGCATCTGATCTGACAGTGACAATGTAATTGGAGATTGGATATAAATAGTGATCAGTAAGGGAAGGGATATGAGGGATATAGAAATTATTTATTCAGGTGTAGGTGGATAGAGAATAGCCTGGAAAAAAGATACAAGACAGATTAGGCTTTCCAACCAATGACCATAGTTATTCTCCTAAACATGTACCTTAGTCTGATGCCGGAGACTGAAGAAGCTGTTGCAGAGAACAGGGTTTGTGCCCCAAAGTGAGGCAATCAGCCTTCCCTGGTAGGCCTCTCTGCAGCACCAGGTGACTCCTGGACCTTCCCTCACATGCCCACATGCTCACATATGTAGAGTAAATATAGATAGCAGCATGTAGATGTTCCCAAGTGAGTCTTGCTGATTTAGGAACCAGAACTTCCTTCTGAAGAATGAGTCTTTGCTAAGGCTTAAGATCTGGCCCTTACCTCTCAAAATGGTGCCAAACACCATTCCAAGTCCCAGCTGCTCCGTTTCCAATCCAGCTCCCTGTTTATGATCTGAGGAAGCATCAAAGGATGACCCTAGTGCTTGGGACCATGCACCCACAGGGGAAACCCCAAAGAAGCTTCTAGCTCCTAGCTGCTGACTATTTGCAGACTGAACCAACTTAGGGAAGATCTCTCTGTGTGTCTCTCCTTCTCTATAACTCTACCTTTGAAATGAAAACAAACAAAAATATTTCTTAAGGGCCCGGTGCGATGGCACAGTGGTTAAGGTCCTCGCCTTGCATGCGCCAGGATCCCATATGGGCGCCGGTTCTATCCCAGCAGCCCCACTTCCCATCCAGCACCCTGCCTGTGGCCTGGGAAAGCAGTCGAGGACGGCCCAAAGCTTTGGGACCCTGCACCCATGCATGGGAGACCCAGAAGAGGCTCCTGGCTTCAGATTGGCTCAGCTCCAGCCGTTGCGGCCACCTTGGGAGTGAATCATCGGATGGAAGATCTTCCTCTCTGTCTCTCCTCTCTGTATATCCGCCTTTCCAATAAAAATAAAAAATAAATCTTTAAAAAATATTTCTTAAAAAAACAGGGATTTCAC